AGGTGTGAACATGCATAGTAATTCTACAGACAAGCAACAACATTTATTTATACTATTTACTGTGCCTAATTTTATATGCTCTCCATATTTTTTGTTTTGGATGTTGAAGACTGAACATACACAGGCAAGTGCTCTGCCATTGAGCTCTGCCCCAGTCTCTGTTGTATTTTTATGTGATGGTAGCACAGTAGCTTGTTTACGGCTGTATGAGCACGCTCAGTAGGTTTGTTTGCACCTGTGTCAGCATGTGCACATATGCATGATGTGTTGTCCTATAACATTATGACAGCAGTCAGTAGGAACATTAGTGTACACAGTGACTGAAGCAGCTTTGATGAGTGTCTAATTCTGAAGACACATGCACATTCTACACATTAACTGTCAATTATAGATCAATCAGTAAAGGTGGCGCACACCTTTACTTCCAGCACTCCGGAGGCAGAGGCAGGCGGATCTCTGTGAGTTCAAAGCCAGCCTGGTCTACAGAGTGAGTGCCAGGACAGCCTCCAAAGCTACATAGAGAAACCCTGTCTCAAAAAAAAACAAAAATAAAAAATAAAAAAGAATAAGGTTGTTCATATTTGTTCCAGAGACCTACTTAGACCACAACTCAGAATCTCCAGGTGTCAATCAAGTCTGGGAATTTGTTTTTGTGTTGTTGTTGTTTAAACCCTCCAATAGGTCCAGTTACAAATTCAGGAATTTGGTTTTTGTTTAAACACTCCAATAGGACAAGTTACATACTTTGTTCAAAACACATGAAGGATTTGGGGACAGTGACAAGAACAGAGACTTCATCATGCCTGGCACATATGACTGTTATCCCGTACTTAGGATTCCCTCGGGAAGATTGCAGCTCCTAGGCAAGCTGAGTTATACAGCAGGCCCCTCTCTCAGAAGCAGAGTAGAGCATCAGGATACACAGGACCCCTCAGGACATGGAGCCTCACCCCTGCACACAGGCTGCACCACCAGAGTTTGCAGTGCTCCACCTGAAGCATCATTCTGTAATGTAGAATGATGCTTATCGCTGGGAGTAGCAGTGTTGTGTATATGTGGTATGTGTGTGTGAATGCACACACGTGTGCCCACTACAGCACTTTTTCGAAAGCCGGAGGACAGCTTCCACAAGTCAGCTCTTGCCTTCCACCCTGTGTTTAAGGTGAGTCTCTCTTGTTGCTCTGCAGCAAGCTCTGTGCTGGCTGGCCCAGGGTCGTCAGTGTGGACCTCCTATCTCCACCTCCCATCTTGCTGCAGGAATGCTGGGATTACAGATGTGTGCTACCACATCTGGCTTTTACCTGAGCTCCCAGGACCAAAACCAGGTCTTAAGACTTGAGTGACAAGTGCTTTGCCTGCCAAGACATCTCATGTCTAGTCAAGCAGGGAATTAAAGAAGAGTCAGAGCTGTCATAAGGTGTCTTATTCCTGCAAAAACAGCCAAGTGGGTTTTTATGAAGTGTATATATGTATGTATGCACGTGTGTGGCAGTCAGGAGACAACCCCAGCTGTTAAACTAGCCTTCTGCCTCATTGAGACAAGGTCTCTGGTTCACTACCATATATGCCAGGCCAGTTGGCCAAGGGCTGCCCATTTCCCGTCTCATCGTAGACATGCTGAAATTATAGGCTTGCACTACCACTTTGGCTTTACCTGGGTTCTGGGGATCTGAACTCAGGTTCTGGTGCTTTACACAGTGAGCACTTTACCCCCGAGCCATCTCCCCAGCCCAACAATGCAGTTTGAATCAGAAACTGCTGTGGAGTCCCCCAGCTTGGGGCTGAGTCATCTCTAGAACTGTGGGCTCTCAGTGACGGGAGACAGGACCCTAGCTCAGTCCCTCTGCTGACTGATTCCAGTGGAGCAGGAAGGTGTAGACACTAGGTAGGGATAGACAGTGACCCTCAGAATCTCTGTGAGCTCATTGTTTGTCACCACCTAAATCTGGGGCACTGTGTAGCTACTGAGACCTTAGCCTTCCTGTTCCTAGGCAATGGCCACCCTACGGTTCCCATCTCTTCCTGTGAGGGTTAATTTCCCACTATCTCGGCTGCCCTGCGTCATGGCCTCCTTATTCAAAGTCTGGCCCTTTGGTCATGAGTACTGAGAAGGATTCACACTTCCAGGTAGTGTGTTCTACTTGCCACCAAACACACATCTCAGATTATCTAAACAGCCCTCAAGCAGAGCAGGGCCGTCCTCGTGCGAGAGTCGGCAGCGCATGGTTGCTCCAAAGCTAGAACACACAGCCCAGCGAAGGGGGCTCAAGCTGGGAAGGAGTGGCTCAACGGCCACTTTACCCTGACCTCTGCAACCAGCTCCTCCACCCCGTAGAAATCTCTTTGGTTCTTGTCTCCGGGACTCTATCGGTAGTAGACTGTCAATCAAATGCAGTCCTCCAAGAGCAGTGCTGTCCATCGGGTTAGCTATGCTGACAGGAATGTTCTGCATCTGTGTTGCTCAGTGTAGGAGAGTGCGGCCATCAAGCCACTTGGACTGTGGCCAGTAAGACCGAAAACCGAGGAACAGAATTTAAAAAACTAACAATGTTTCAGAGGCTGCATGTGGAGTTCAGTGACTTACCATGATTGCAGCAGGTGAAAGACTCCAGTTCAACCCCAGCACAAAAACAAACAAGGCAAACCAAGGAGGTGGGAGGTGGTGGCGCACATCTTTAATCTGAGTTCAAGGTCAGCCTGGTCTACAGAGCAAGTTCCAGGACAGCCAAGACTATACAGAGAAACTGAGTCTCAAAAAACCAAAATATGAAATAAAATAAAAATATAAACAAAAATAAACAAGGAGCTAAGCACGTAGCACACATCTGTCACCCAGCGCTCAGGAAGCTGTGGCAAGGGGAGGCCAGCCAGGGCCACATATGAGAGTAGGATCTTGTCTCAAGACACACCGCCAGACAGGCATGGTTGCACGTAGCCTCAATCCCAGTCCTCAGGAGGCAGGGGCAGGAGGCTCTCTGTGAGTTCATCAAGGACAGTTGGCTCTAAATGTGAGTTCCAGGCCAGCCAGAGCTACACTCACCAGCCCACAAAGTAAAATTTGCATTCTTACACCCAACAAGGACTTAAGGAGATTTCAGTTGGTTGAAGAAAACATTTTGTAAATAAGAAAACATGTAAGAATGGCATGATCTCTCAAGTTAGTTCCTAAAAGAAAAGGGAATCCCCATCCACCTGTCACCAGGAGGAGGTGTGGAACAAGAATTTGTGGACATTTTGAAAACCATCACCTGGTTTGCTCATTACAGAGAAGATATGCTAAGCCATGCTAGTTTCCTCTAATTTTCATATTTCCTGGGGAATAACTGCAGCATTTTGATGATTTTCTCTAATCCTCATTCCTGTTCAGTCTGTCTGTCTGTCTCTGTCTCTCTTTCTCTGTCTCTCTTTCTCTCTCTCTCTCTCTTTCTGTGTGTGTGTGTGTGTGTGTGTGTGTGTGTGTGTGTGTTTCAAGACAAGGTTTCTCTGTGTAGCCCTGGCTGTCCTGGAACTCACTCTGTAGACCAGGCTGGCCTCGAACTCAGAGATTCACCTGCCTCTGCCTCCCGAGTGCTGGGATTGATAGTATGCTCCACCACTGCCCGGTTACTGTTTATATTTTTAATTAGAATTGTCTAAGGAACATGTGCCTGCCTCAATCATTTCTTTCATGGCGGTCTCATGTCTGCGTATTTTTCTTTGAAAGGACATAGAGTTATGTTTTGTCCTTACCTCCCAGTTTGGGGTAGCTTCTCTAATAACTAAGGTGACCTAAGACAATCTGAAGGAGTGATGGGACTGCCACGAAAGGCAAGGACAGCCAAACCCTGCCATTGAAGACAAGAGTGCTGGGATTCCAAAGTCTGCTGTGAGCCCATAACCATGCCAACCTGAATGCGCTTGACCACGAGTAGCCCGGCATGAGATCAGTGTAGAGATACCCACCAGAGCAAGAATGGGAAGTCTAGCCGGGCGGCAGTGGCACACACCTTTAATCCCAGCACTCGGGAGACAGAGACAGGCGGATCTCTGTGAGTTCAAGACCAGCCTGGTCTACAGAGCGAGTTCCAGGACAACCAGGGCTAAACAGAGAAACCCTGTCTCAAGCAACCACCAAGAAACAAAGAATGGGGAGTCCTAAGTCCTAGCTAACAGCTCAGAGCCCTGACCGCACCCCCCTTCTGTGTGTGTCACATCTCTCTCCCCTTGCATCTGTTTTCCTAAAGACACAGTGAAAGTAGAGGTCAGGGCTTCTTGGCATGAGCACATACGAAAATGAATGCTCAGGTCGTTTCAGGACCAGGACTGCAGGGCTGAGATATTACGCTCAAGTGCTATGCTCAAGGCCCTAGGGTCAATCACGGGCATCGCAACAAACAAAACTAAGCTGCTAGCCCTGTGCTTAGACTGTGCAGCTGAGCAGGTGGGTCAAGGCTTTGTGTGTCCAGCATGAGGCTTGGTGCTGTTGCTGGTGAAGTTTCCCAGACACGTTGAGACCCCCTCCATCCAGATGCTTTCACACAAACAGCAAGCCTTTACGTGTTCTGTGAAGAGGTCCCTATTGACATGGTCTACCAGGCAGAGACCCTGGGATCGAAGTGGGAATTGTGCAGTGGACACTGAGTTGCCACCCTGGACCAGGCATGACAATGAGCAGCCCTGAGACCCAGTCTCTGCCCAGGGAAGGACTAAGGTCGGTTAGAATAAGGAGGTACAAGCTGGAATCTGATTATACTAAGTAGCTGTGTAGCCCTGAGTAACTGACTAAATGACTTCTTGCCTCAGTTTCCCAGCCTACACACCAAAAGGGCATTGGTCATGCTTACGACCCACAGTAAAGAGCATGTTCACCCGACACCTGATGCTGTCTAGTGGAGGGAAATGGCAGTGACAGAGCACTAGCTACTTCCAGAACATTCCCACGCAGCAATGCCATCCAGTCTGGATTCCCACCCTCTGGTTTCAGCGCCATCACAGACTGCAAGCCAGACTATGAAACCATGTCAATATAATTTATTAAATAGACTCTGAGGGTTCCTCCAAGGAGTGTTAACAACTCAGTACATAAATACTAATAAATAAATATAGCTGCCACTTCCAGCCCCCACAAGGGTGGACAGAATAAAGACATCATAAATAACAAGGCTTGTCACGATGGCAGGGTCTCTTTGAGTTAATCCCTACAGTGCAAGCCCAGCCCTCCAAGGACAGGTACTGCTGAGGACACTAGAGTTCTTCCTTCCCTAGAGCTCTTCTCATCAATCAACATATCCTGTCCTTAACCTTTAGTTCTGCCATGCAGTCTGAGAACCGTTTCAAAACAGTCAGTGTAAAGATTTTGCGTGCATAGAAATCTTCAGGCTCATAAATGCTTGGTTTTGGTGGGTTGGAACACCTGATGTCGTCCAGCCGTTTTGTGACATTAGCGGTGTCTGCTCTGTTATCGCTCAGCCTTTTGGCCGTCTCCAGATATGCTTGGATAATTGAGATATTGGTTGATGCTTCGAAGCCCAGGGTGAAACACGGCAGCTGGAGGGACTCGTCTGTTGGCACCCCAACCGCATCCTTTTTGAGCTGTAGAAAGAAGGTTTGAAACACCATGAGGACCAGGTTTGTAAGAAGCCCCAGAGATCTGGACGGCTCATATCCAGTGCTTCCTCTGTATCTAGCATGACAGACTTACCTAATTGGCACAGCAACCCTGTGAGACTCGGGCTATCACTAACCCGGTGTCTGCAGGAGTCACTGGTTTATGAGCAGTCAGACAGACATGCATACCGGCCCAGGTTGGCCATATTGATGTTTCCTAAGGGTGCTCATAACCACTCTTCCCTCCTACTCCTGTACCCACCTGGCTGAAGTCACCCCAGCCCTGTGCAACTTGCTCTCAAATGCTCAGGGTTGAGTGGAGAAAGGGGGTTTATCTGAGTTCCCTCCTCTTCGTGCCTCTGTATGAATGCCACGGTGCTACTTGCTGGTAGAGGATGGTTTATGCATGCCTGCAAAGACCTTTGAGATGCTAGGGGGAGTTTCTCAAATAAACAAAGGACTCTAGTCCTTCCTTATCCTCTCCTCTTCCTCAAAACTGACAGTTGGCTCAGCACTTCTACCTCTGAGTCTGTTAAAGCCAAGGATAAAGCTTCAGTGCCAGGGCAGACAAGGTCGATACTAATTCACTGTCATTTCCAGTTTAGTGTTTAATTAAGTTATCCGAGAGGTCTGGAGGAAGTGAAGTATTCACACATACTAGGTCTTGTGCTACTTACACCTGCCAGGGTTGCCAAGGCAGAGGGCCTTCCAGTTATCTCCAAGCATGCACAGATAGTTGTCTGGTTAGTTAACTGTTCTGAACTAGCCAGAGGCACCAAGGGAGGATTTTCTTTACCTGCTTCCCCTAGGACATCTTTTGCTGCTTCTCAGGGGATTCCTGAATCTAACTGGCCCATCTCTACAGATGCACTTCCAGCGCCAATGCTCATTTCCTGGGATGGGGAGCCAGGCAGATTTCAGATAAAGAAGACTGTGAGCACACATCCTGTAGTCTTTGGGAAGTTGCTGGTGTGTGGGTCCCTGGACTAGTCTGCCTCTGCCTCCTCTGTTAGTGCATTTACCCCCTCATAAATACCCCTCCCCAGCCAGCCTGATTCTTTTCCATTCCTCTCTGGCCTCCATAGCTGGTTTCACATCTGGAAAGAATAGCTGTTCTGGAGAGCAAAATAAGGCATTTTAAAGAAGCGGATTGGAAAAGAAATCTCAAAGGCACTTACGTAGTCTTCATAAAGTTCCTTAGACTCGAGTTTCAGGAGTTCAACTATAGTCTTTATCATACTTGCTGTTGGCGCGCCAAAGGACGGGCAGCAGATGGCCAGCCAGGTTCCTACACAGCAGAGCAGCACCAGGGTGGGCTTCGTTGGTCCTGGAGAAAGAGAAGGACACCGTCAGGCTCATGGGCCAGATGCCCCTGCATGGGTCAGCTCTGCCTGGTGTCGCTGCTCCTATCTCGTTCCCCTAGTATGATAAGAGCCATGGAGCTGAAGCCATGTGAGCTACAGAGCCAAGGGTACCTGTGTGGAAGATCATAGCGATGGTGAGAGAGTGACCTGCTTTGCTTGTGACCTCTGGAGCTTGCTGGATGTGTTCGCCATGGCCACCAGGCAATATATAGAGGGCCGGCGTGAGGGAGATCAAAGGCCCGCCCATGGCAAAACCATTGCTCAGCTTTTCTCCAGAAAACACTTTCAAAATGCTGCCAGCCACGGCTCGGGGAAAGCAGGGCTGGAAGGAAATGCTGAGGTTACCCTCAAGGCAGGCAGAGGCTTGAGTCACGACCATACCCGCGTACGCACACACACAGATACATACACATACCACACAGGAAGGCACATGCATCTTGGGCATCTGTTTCTTCTTGGAAAGAGCCTGTTGACTTAATGAGAGGAAATTCTGAAGCTCAGAGTTGAAAAGTACAACCACTGAGGAAGAAGTGACTTCGTGGAGGCTGAGGGTCAGTGCCCTGCAGGGAATTTCTGTGAGGCCTTGCGGAGGCATGGAGTCACCGGTGCTTGGGGATGGCTCTGAAGAACACTGTGCAGGTGTGAGCACGACGCTCCCTGCTATGACGCTTGCTCTTGCCCGTGCATTCTGACCCGTGTCCTCATGACATCTGGGACCAGAACCAGGGCTCTCAGGAGCGACTTGGTGGTGGTGTCTTCCGCTTCCCGGGTAATGGGAGTAAGAGGGGGCGTACACCTGCAATCTTAGCCCTCAGCAGACTGGGAAGAGAGGGTTCGGGCCATACAGAAAATCACTGTCTGAAAAATAAGCTGCTTCTGAGCCTTGAAGAAACATTTACTACTGAATTTCAAATCACACTTGCAAAGTAGGTGAGACGTTCTTTTATCATCTTTAGAATCAAACTATCCTTTTTTTTTTTTTTTTGGTTTTTCGAGGCAGGGTTTCTCTGTATTGTTTTGGAGGCTATCCTGGAACTCGTTCTGTAGACTAAGCTGGCCTCAAACTCACAGAGATCCGCCTGCCTCTGCCTCCCGAGTGCTGGGATTAAAGGCGTGTGCCACCAACACCCGGCTTCTTTAACTATTTTTTAAAAATTAAGGAGTTATTCATGGTTTGGAGAGCTGGCTCAGTGGTTAAGAGCACTGACTGCTCTTCCAGAGGCCATGGATTTGCTTCCCAGCACTCACATGGCCACTCACAGCCATCTCACAGCCATCTGTAACTCTAGTTTCAGGGGCCCCAAAGCCCTCTTCTAGCCCCTGGGGTCACCAGGCACACACATGGTATATCGGCATACATGCAGGTAAAACACTCATACACATAAATTTAAATTAAAAGTTATTCAGTCAGGCATGGTGGCTCATGCTTGTAATCCCAGCATTCAGGAGGCAGAAGAGGGAGGAGTGACGTAAATTTGGAACCAGCATTTGTCTACACAGTGAGCTGCAGCACAGGAAGGGTCGCAGAGAGAGACTATATCAGAGAAGAAGTAAGTTGTTAGGCAGGTGGACACTCCCATCACCTGCCCAAAGCTCTACATCCAGTACCCAGTGTTTCAAAAATAGTATTGGAATCATTTAATTTTTGTTAGGATTTATTTTGGATGTGCATGTATGCTGCCAGTGTCCATGGAGGCCAGAAGAGGGCGTCTGTTCTCCTGGAGCTGGACTTGCTGGTGGTTGTGAGCTACCCGGTGTGGGTCCTGGGCATGGAACTGGTCCTCTGTGAGAGCAGCGAATGCTAAGCTCTCTCTAGCTTCCACTTACTCTTTTTTGTTTGTCTTTGAAGGTTCAGGGTCTGATCGCTTGCTTGTTATCCTATTGGAGGCTTGGCTTTTTGTTTTGTTTATGTTTGTTGGTTTGGGTTTGTTTGTTTTTGTTTCAGACAGAGTCTATGTAACCCTGGCTGTCCTGGAACTCATTACATGGACCAGGCTGGCCTCTGCCTCTCCAGTGCTGGGACTAAAGGTGTTCACCTCCATGCCCAGCTCTATTTTTGACTGGACTCCGACTTAAAGCCAAAGTGCTCGTCAGGGGATGGAGAGATGGCTCAGAGGTTAAGAGCACTGGCTGCTCTTCCAGAGGTCCTGAGTTCAATTCCCAGCAACCACATGGTGGCTCACAACCATCTACAATTCAATCTGGTGTATATGTAATAAATAAATAAATCTAAAAAAAAAAGTGCTCGTCAAGCACAGCCTCCTGGCGTCTTCCTTTGGCTTCCTTCATTCTCTTGGTCAAAAGTTTAGCATCTTCTGCAGCCTCCTCATTTTTCATAGTGTTGTTTTTTCAGAGCAGTATGTCGGCATTTATGTTACAGGTGTTGGGTACATTGGTCTTTGGCCTCTCCCTGTCTGTGAGGGCTTCTGACAGCGGGTTGGAGGGCGTGGTCTCCTTTAGAGAGATGGAAAAGCTTTTGGAGTCTGCTGACTCTTGAGTCCCAGCTGCTGAGGCACAGCAGGGTCTGTCCGTCAAGGAATATTTCTCTTCCCCCCCTCTCTCTCCCTCCCTCCCTCCCTCCCTCCCTCCAAGAGCCAAGGTGAGAACACTCAGATTGACACCCACAATGCATCATGAACAGACCTGTGCTTCTGCCCTCCCGTTCTCTTCAGTCTGTAACAAGAAAGCTCCTCACACCCCAGGCGGCAGTGACTGCACCTGCCATCCCAGCAGAGGCAGGCAGTTCAAGGCTTTGAGTTCAAGGCTAGCACGGTGTGCAGAGCAAGTTCTAGGACAGCCAGGACTACACAGAAGAACCCTGTCTCAGAAAAAAAGAAAGGAAGGAAGGAAGGAAGGAAGAAAGAAAGAAAGAAAGAAAGAAAGAAAGAAAGAAAGAAAGAAAGAAAGGAGGAGGAGGAGGAGGAAGAGGAGGCCCGTCACTCAACAGCAGGCGCACTCACTCTGCCGTGGGTTAAGACACCTGCTGCATGGGAAAACCTTGTCTGTGGTTCCCGCCACTGATTTGGACCACGTGACCCTCCACTCTTCACCAGAGGCTCAGCAGCTACCTCTGTGGCCACGCACTTCTCATAGGAAGTACGAAGTTTGCGTCCTCGTTTGCTTCGGTGAGTTTCTGACAGCCGGTGGCTGGGAAGGCAATGCTTAGCTTCATCTTAACACCGCCTGCCACCTAAGGGGTGCCATGACAGAGCTGAGAGACCTCCCAGTCTATTTCAGTTATTTTTATGGTTTTCTGAGACAGGGTTTCTCTGTGTAGCCCGGGCTGTCCTGGAACTCGCTCTGTAGACCAGCCTGGCTTTGAACTCACAGAGATCCGCCTGCCTCTGCCTCCCGAGCGCTGGGATTAAAGGCGTGCACCACCACCACCAGGCCCCAATTTATTCTTATTCTGAGTGTCAACTATATCCTCTTCTAGGTCCTCAGGAATGTGACAAACAAGCCCAACAAAGCCCCTATCCTTAAGCCTTCTAGGGGACAAGAGGCAAAGCCAAGCAGTGGTGGTGCACTCATGAGGCAGAAGCAGGCAGATCTCTGTGAGTTCAAAGCTAGGCTGGTCTACAGATCAAGTTCCAGGACAGCAGAACTACACAGAGAACCCATCTGGGGCAGGGGGGCAGGATGCATAAATAAGAAAACACCCAGCAATAATAAAACTATGGATAGCCGGGCGGTGGTGGCGCACGCCTTTAATCCCAGCACTCGGGAGGCAGAGGCAGGCGGATCTCTGTGAGTTCGAGGCCGGGCTGGACCGACAGCCTTCAAAACAATACAGAGAAACCCTGTCTCATAAAAAAAAAAAAAACTATGGATAACTACCTCATGATTGGCTAGAGGGTGATGTGCAAATACCGTAAGTCAAGGGATCAGACATTTAAACTGAGACCTGAAGCCAGGCGTGATGGCTCACAGAAAGTCTGAGCCCAACCTGGAGTGTGTAGTGTGTTTCAGGTCCGCCCGGGCTGCGGGGTGAGATCGTCTTAAAAAAAAAGAAAAAGCTGACTTATCAATTGATTGACTGACTGGTGGATTAAGACTGAGACCTGGAGAAGAGCAGCTGTGGAGCAATCTGGGCACAATGTTCCAGGTAGAGGATGCAGCTGCCGAAGCTTGGAGAAGAGGGGAGAGAAAGCTCGGTGACCGGGCACCACAGACCTTGAGGCCACGGTAAAGAGCATGGGTTTTCTTCTAAGTGCGAAGAGACACCACCAGATAGCTTTAGATAGAGACACAGAGGACCTGGTATGCTTCTGAAGAGAGAAAATGGGCTGCTGAGCGGAGAGAGGAGTCGGGATCTGAGATGGAGGCGGGGAGCTAACGAGAAGTTGTGTAGGTGCTCAGTGAGAGGATAAACAGAGCAGAGCAGCGTAAACGGGGGAGGAGGAGGAGGAGGCAGCGTCCTAATCAGTGCGGAGATGAATCCAAGGGATGAACCAAGGAAAGCTTCCGGGCTTGTAATGAGGAAAGAGAAGTCTGCGAGAGGAAGTTGAGAGCTCTGCTAGCAAGAGTTCACTGCGATGCCATTGGGCATCTTTTTTGTTTTTTGTTTTTTTTTGTTTTTTTGGTTTTTTGAGACAGGGTTTCTCTGTGGCTTTTGGAGGCTGTCCTGGAACTCACTTGGTAGTCCAGGCTGGTCTCGAACTCACAGAGATCCTCCTGCCTCTGCCTCCCGAGTGCTGGGATTAAAGGCGTGCGCCACCAACGCCCGGCGCCATTGGGCATCTTTTTGCTACACATAAGCCATGGCTCTGGGGTCCAGAGCTCAGAATGAGGCCAGGTGTGGGCAGCTCATAGTCCCCCAGTGTACAACAGAGGGCGCCCAGCCAGGGGCTCCTGCTGCTCTCAGCCCCCCCCCCTTTGCTTCCAGCTTCTTGTCCTTTTTTCTCACCCGTGAGTCTTTTGGTTTGGTTTTGGGAGATGTTCACTCTTGGCTATGCCTGTCTTGGAATAGACCATGTAGTCAAGGCTAGCCTCAAAACCACAGGGATCCTCCTGCCTCCCAGGTCCTGGGATTACATACATATCTGGCATGCTTCTCCACAGAATGGTTAACCCTTGCTATTTGCCTAACTTTCCAAACCCCAACTTAATCTAACTTCATAGGAAAGCCAGCAGCAGGCAGGCCTGGGCCCACTATGCCTGTCCACATTACATGGCATTAGCAATCAGGTTACTTGAAGATGGAGAAATTTTCTGGCTACTTGAGTTGGTTTAGTGCAATCGCATGAGCCCTAAGGACTAGACATAGTACCACAGTGTAGGGCTTGCCTACCTTTTCTGAGGCTCTGTGGATCCATCCAAGAAGCCAAGCAGACAACAAAACTGAAGGAAGGCAGGTGTGATGGCACACATTTATACTCCCGGAACTTTGGAGGTGGAGACAGGAAGATCAGAAGGTCAAGGTCACCTTTGACTACACGTCAAGTGCCAAACCAGCCTGGGCAGCGTGAGACCTACCCCCACAAAAAACAAAACAAAACAAAACAAAACCCCTATAAACTGTAACAAACGGGCTGAGGCTCAGCTGGTGGGGAACCTGTTTAGCCTGCACAGAGCCCCGGGGCCGTTCTCGGCACCACGGAACAGGTGGCGGTGGTGCACACAGCTCTCAGGAGGCGAAGACAGGAGGCTTAGACGGTCAAGGTCACCCTTACTACACACCAAGCGGGAGGCCAGCCTGGGTACGAGACCCTGTCTCAAAGAGTGAATACAGTATGACAAACAGAAACAGACGACATTAGGACAGGGAAGAAAGGCAGAGATGCCACTGAGGAGGAGTTAGATGCCATTGCATGACAGCGAACTAATTCAGCTTGAAGGTGTGAGCCTGGTGCAAGACCCTGAGCCCAGGTGAGAACAGGGGTCTCGGCCTGCAGCTTCCTCTCAGTCTGTAAGGGACGGATTGGAAGAGCTGCCGATGGCACCGCGCTCGGCCTCCATCTGCTTACTTTGTTTTTCAGGTAAGGGTCTCACTTTGTAGCCCCAGCTAAGCTGAAACTCCCTGTGTGGCCCAGGCTTTGAACCTAGAATAATCCTCCCGCCTCATCCTCCCAAGAAATGAGATTGTTTTTATTAGCATATAGTAATTTTACACAATAATGGGTTTCATTATGACATTTTCATGTATGTGTATAATGTATTTTGATCATATTCACACACATGCACACGTGTACACACACACACACACACATGCTTCCCTTTTGTCTCCCTTCCTCTCCCCAGCTAGTGTCCCCTTCTATTTGCATGTCTTGTTTGAATGACCCAACAACTTTCATGGGGTTTCTTATAGGAATAGGGTAAATTATTTACAACAGCATGAGCTCCTTACCAGCAGCTACCCCACTGAGGAAAGAGATCAATTGTTGAACTTACATAAATCCTCAGGGAGGGGTAGGGGGCAAGAGTCCTCTCTCCATGACACTGAGTCAACAGGCCCAGCCTTGTGTAGATAATTGTTTTGTTTTGTTGGTTTTTCAAGACAGGGTTTCGATGTGCAACAGCCCTAGCTGTCCTGGAACTAGCTCTTGTAGACCAGGGTGGCCTCGAACTCATAGAAATCTGCCTGCTTCTGCCTCCCTAGTGCTGGGATTAAAGGCATGCACCACCACTGCTCTGAAGATAATTGTTTTTATGAGAAGGGGTCTCACTATGTAGCCCATATTGGTGATCCTCCTGCCTCCACCTCCCTAGAAATGGGATCATAGGATTCACTATGTCCAGCAAACTTAACAAGAGAGAAATAATTTGGCCCCCAGTGACCGAATGTTATCAGTCTCACTAGTTCTTGTCAGCTCTCACTTTTCATGACCCCCTCCATGGTATGCCAGAATTCCAACCATTATTATGCCACAATGCCAATCATTTCAACTTCTTTCTGTGGAAACTGGATTCAGGTTCTTTGTGATACAAAACAGACTATCAAATGAGCTGTAGCCCAACCCCATTTCTACTTTCTTTTTTTGGGGGGGTGGTTCGAGACAGGGTTTCTCTGTGGCTTTGGAGGCTGTCCTGGAACTCACTCTGTAGACCAGGCTGGTCTCAAACTCACAGAGATCCTGCTGCCTCTGCTTCCCGAGTGCTGGGATTAAAGGTGTGCACCACCAACGCCTGGCTAATTTCTACTTTCTTAAGACCCCAGCTTGGGACTGCAGAGATGGCTCAATGGGTAAGTGATTGCTGTCCAGACACGAGGACAAGGTGCCCATAATCCTAGCTCTCCTGCTGAGGGCTGGAGGATCCCTGAAGCTGGTACATCAGTTAGCCTGGTTGTATGCACCTGTGAGCAGTAAAGAGACCCTCCCTAAACCAAGGTGGAAAGTGCGGACCTAGAGTTATCTTCCGAGTTCTACGTGAGGTGCCCCCACTCACACACAGCATTGTACATACAATAAAATGCAGTCTGAACTAGACATGGTTACACACACCTTTAATTCCAGCACTCAGGAGGCAGAGGCAGGCAGATGTCTGTGGGTTGAGACCAGCCTGGTCTACACAGTGAGCTCCAGGCTAGGAAGAGCTAGCTATACATGAGACCCTGTCTCCAAAAAAAATGAAACAAACAAAAATCCAATCTGGCAGAGCGGTGATAAACACAGCTGCCTTCCCAAACCTCTCTCTCCTCCTTCCGTAATGACACACTCTGTCCTTCTGACTGTGCCTCCTCAGGGTTCTAGGCTAAGCACCTGCATGCTTGGCTCTTTTCTTCATGGACGTGTCTCCAAGGCTTCCACCTTTGACCTATATTCTGTGCCCTTTAATGACCCCAAGACTGTCTTGACTGGACCTTAAACAGCACATATTCATAGAAGAGCCAGGGTGATGCCACGGGTGGATGCAAAGGGATGTGGCCTGGAAAAAGAAGGAGAGGTAAAACCCAGAGAAGATGGCTGGCTGCGGGGTTGGAGGACTAGGAGGGAACTGAGGGCAACTTGTAGGTTTCTGGCATAGACAAATGGATACCTGGCAGTGATGCGTAAGAGCACAGAGCAAAGACAGCCTTTGGGGCGTGAGGAAAGTAACTAATTCCATCCTGCCCCGAGGTGATGGAGCACGTAAAACACAGCTGGAGGCGGTTAGCAGTGCACCGGACTTGGATTTCCAACATAGAGGAGGGAACTAGAAATGCCCATTTGGAAGCCATCAGTATGTTATGCTTGACACAACTGCAAGCCTATGGCAGATAGCCACCAGAACAGGTGACAGCCACTTGTAGAGTCTTGGGACATGAGCCATCAGCAGAAGAAAAGAAAAACAAACAAAAATGGAAGGTGACTTGGTGTACAAGTCAAGAAGACACACCCAGGAAGGAAAGAGAAGGAAGCCGTCATGGAACAAGTTGAGAGGTGGTTTTCAAGCCATGGAAAGGATAACCCTGGACAGAGTCTGTAGGCTTGTAGACTTGAGGTCACAGGAGCTTTGTGAGGGAACTTTGAGGAAGTTGCTGGGGTGGAAGTCTCCCCGAGGCATCGAGGAAAAGGCAAGAGTCGACGGCATGGATGAGAAAGAAGACAAGTGGGGGTAGTGGGGGTGAGGACAGCAGGGGCGTCTTAGAGTCACTGGACTCTCCAGGGCTGGCCACATCCTGAAACCGAGGGGAAATCTAAACAAGCGCTCCAGATATTTCCGGGTGGTTACTTGTTACTTGCCTTTAACTTAAAACCACTAACCCGGGGAATGGAGACATGGCTCAGCAGTTATGAGCACAGGCTGCTCCTCCTGAGGACCCGGGTTCAGTCCCCAGGACGGACACGGCAGCTCACACCTGTCTGTGACTCCAGTCCTAGGACATCCAACACCCTCTTCTGGCTCTGTATGCACCAGGCTTGCACGTGGTACACACACTTACACTCAGGCAAAATACACAGTCAGTACATGTTTGCAAGACTGTAGTGAAGCCCCATACACAATAAACAGGTTATGAAGCCAGGCATGATGGAACATGCTTTGCAGCCCTGGGACTCAGGAGGTAGGGTAGAAGGATCGGATCAGGGTCCTCCTCTGCTATCCAGTGAGTTTGAAACCAGCCTGGGCTCCATGGATGAGTCTTGAAAACATCACAAATAAAGAAAAACAGGCATAAAAAAATCTTGCATGGGATTCCACCTTTGGAATAAGCCAACAAATGCACAGATACCCAAAGTGAATCGCTGTTTGCCACTGGCTGAGCAGATGGTAGGGTGCCTGTTTGCTTCATTGGTTTGTAACGTGAAGGAAAATGATTAGATCACAGTGGTAAAAACTAGATTACAGTTGCATTATGAATATATAAAAAATCACAGAATTGTGCACTTTGAATTTTAGGGTACACAAATCATACCTCATCAAAGATATTGCATTTCCGAATTAGTCATCTCATCCCATTAATTTCAGAGACCACAGTCGGAGAGCCCCTGCTATGTGGAGGTTGCTTCGGGGGATGGCAAGATAAGATTGGATAAGTCTAAAAATGGGTCTGTTCTCAAATGGCTCACCGATAGATCCGGAGAACCACACTGGGATCCCCTAATTGGAGTCCTAAAATGTTTACGCTTGGACTGATTTTTCCTCTTTAGATCCACCGAATGAGGACAACAGTCATCACTTTCCACAGACAATATTTGGGAGGATGGAAAGAATCCCCTAAGAGGCGCCCACCACCTGCTGTCGCAAGGTGCCTCCACCAGTCGAGTAGGAGCTCAGCTGGGGTCTTTGCTGCTGGGAAAGCTGGCTTCCACCTGCTCTTCCGCACCCAGGGTAACGCGTCTGGAGGTTGCCTAGCAACGAGCCTTCTTGAGGCAACATGGAGAGCATAGACTCCAGCGCGAGCAACGGGAAGATCGAGGACGGCGAACCCGGGACCTTGAGCACCGCCGTGCGTGAGCACCTGCAGAAGCTGTGTCTGCATGAATTCCCGTGTGGCACCGGGAGCTGGGTGCGTGCTCCCGCGCCGGGGGTGGGGGTTGGGGGAGAGAAGGATCCAGCAGGGGTGAACCTGGGACTGGACCAGAGTAGCTGCAGGGAGTAGACCGGAGTAGGGAGTACCTAGCTGGGAACTAGGCTGCCTTAGGGGTCAGGACTTGCTCAGATACAAGCCTGAGGGGAGGTTGGGATGTGGTCGTTTGGCACTGGCTGATTTGGGAGCTGGCGTGAACTGAGGAGACTGAACTCTGAAGGAGTTGAGGGACCAAGCATCCACCTTGCCTCGGGGCACCTACCCAGTATGGACTGATCCAGCCCATCAAGCTGACCTTTGGCCTCATGCTAGACTAGAACACCTGGCTGGCCAGGCTCCAGATGCCAGAGTGAAGACAAGTGGAGAGCCTTGGTCTCCCAACAGTTGGCTCTACAACTCCTCATGAGAAGATGTAGAGAAAATGGCTCCCCGGTGCTCTGGGGCTGTGGGACTCGCTTTTCCCTTTCTGAGGATCCAGTGGGAAGGGTCTTCTGTCCCGCCATCCCTGCCCCCTTTCCTCCTGTAGCAGTGCTGGACTTGGGACACCTCGGGTGCTCCATGACCTCTGCGCTCCTTCCAGGCTGAGGAGAGACTGAGGGAAAGACCGTCAAGGGAATGCCAACACAGCCGGGGAAAAACTCTGGCCCAGCAGGGCAGGAAGGTCCTAACCTGTTGCTTCATCTTGTGCATTCAGCCTGCTCAGAGAGCAGAGGGACCGATGTCACCAGCTGGGTGCACAGGGTGGGGGTGGGGATCGTGGCGAGACTTAGAGGTCCGTGGAATGTGGCTGTCAGCTGGGCCTCCCTGAGTAAAACTGCCCTTCCTACTGTGGAAGAAATCAGCCGCCCACCAGGGACACACTCCTTTGTTTAGTCAGCAGACGCAGGCTGAATGGCTACCCTGTGCTATGCAGTGTTGGAAGCTTTGGAACTTCAAAGATGGATCTAGGGAGAGAGATGTAGCTAGGTGTTTTCAGTAAGTGCTTGTCCAGGCTGAGGTCTTTAGTCCCACCCCCAGCACCAAACCAAGCCAAATAAAACAAGCCCAGAAAAATCCCAAGAGCCGTGTTTCAACCGTTGCCTGCAGGTGGTAGATTCTGAGGAGCAATTCGTCTTTTACTCACCAAAGCTCAAGTTTCACCTTTCACCTTCCCTCAGTGAATTCTCAGGTTCCCAGATTGCCCACCGAGCCTCTTGTACACACTTGCATTAAATGCCGTGTCAGACATGAGATCTCCTTCTATTCATCATGTTATTTTTAATCGTGTGTCTCTGTGTGGGCATGTGCACGTGCATGTTAGGACGGGCACGCTCAGGCTGGAAGACGGAATTGATCCCCTGAGGCCGGGATTACACGCGTTTGTGAGCTGCCTGACACAGGTACCGGGAACTGAACTTGGGTCTTCTGGAAGAGTGCCAAGTACTCTTAACCACTGAGCCCCTTCTCCAACCCTGAAATCTATTCTGTTTTGTACGTTCAAAGTTCCCAACTCCAGAGTGAAGTGAAAACAGGAAACTGGCATTTGAACTATCTGTGTCTTGCTGGCACACATCGGTAATGTTAGCACTTGGGAGACTAGGGCTGGAGGACTGAGGGTTCCAGGTCAGCCTAAACTGCACAGCCATGTTCTGCCCCCACAAATAATTACCGGGTACCAGGCACATAGCTCAGTCGGTAGAGTGTTTCCTGGCCTTCACAGAGCCCTGGGTTTGAGCGCCTACATCTCATCACACCTAGCGTAGGGTAGCATGTCTGTAGTCCCTCAACTTGGGAGGTGGAAGCAGGAGGGTCAAGGGGTTCAAGGTAACCATCTGCTACGAAGTGAGTTCAAAGTCAGCCTGGCCTACATAAGACCCTGTCTCAGACAGCCAGGACCAGAGCAATGGCTCAGGGGTAAAGTTCTATGAGTCAGTGATGGCTATTCTGGGTAACATCTGGAATAAACTAAAAATCCAGGTAGCTGGGTACATCTGTGAGGGAGTTTTTCCCTTAAATAAAGCCATCTGAAGTCATAAGGCCCACTTTTTGTTTTGTTTTTGTTTGTTTATTATTCTTTTGAGACAGGGTTTCTCTGTGTAGCCCTGGCTGTCCTGGAACTCACTTTATAGACCAGGCTGGCCTCGAACTCACAGAGATCCAGCTGCCTCTGCCTCCCAAGTGCTAGAATTAAAGGCATGCGCCACCACATGACTAGAAGACCCACTTTTAGTGGATCTATTAAGGTGGGAAGACCCACGTTTATCTGGGCCACACCTTCTCGTGGCAGCCCACTTGAAGAACATGGAGGAAGGAAGCTGGCTCTCTTTGCCTGCTTGTTCTTGCTCTCCCTGGCAAGCCCACTCCCTCACCAGCATCAGAGCTGCTCCTTTGGGATCTGGCACATGCTGAGACACCAGCTTTGTGGACTGGATCCTTGTTGGGTTCTTGGACCTTCCATTGGTAGACAGCCATTGTTGGACGAGTGGACGCCAGCCTGTGGGCCATTCTAAGTCCCCTGTAATCCTGTGTGGATGTGTGATTTCATATTCTGTAAATTCTGTCCCTCCAGAAAAGCCTGACTTGTACAGAGCCCCACACGCACTCGCTGTGGTGAACACACGAACACACACCCAGGCACAACACACTAAGTCGGGGTGAGAAGGCTTCCATCTCTCCCTCTGCAGAATAAGTCACGCTTCCTTCCTCAAACATGGCGAACCTGGAGGGACTTGGTCCCCAAAGAGGAGGAGACCGTGAGTGCGGGGGAAGAGACTGTGGAGGACCTGCTGGGCCTGGTGCGGAGCAACCACTCTCCTTGGGCTTTGATGAAGGACTCCAGCGCCGAGGACCAGTTCCTGAGAGAACTGGCCATCCAGCATCCACTGATGATCAAAGACACTTTCTTCTACTCCTACTTTCGGTCCCTGCGGGTGGTGGACAAGGGGGTAAGCACTGGTGGGGAGAGGCAGCCTCGGGAGGGCGCTGGTGCTGGGGGACCCTGTCTTTTAGAACTCTCCGTAGGTGTCAGGAGGGCCTCGCTGACCTTGGTTGTGTATCTCTCAGTCTCTAACCCCAGGGCAGCTGAGTCCTGCATCCTCTTTGGCTGACTCCTTGCACACTCTGCCGTGGGCCCTCCTAGTAAAGACTTTTGAAGGGACCACAGTGTTTCTTTTTACTTTGAAGTGTGAAGAGAGGGCCTGGAGAGGACTGGCTAACATCAAGCCAGCTGCTTTTGAAATGGCAAGGATGACAGGCCTCCTTGTGTCCTTTCTTCTCAAATGACCCACTTAGACCATTTTGTCTGGGACTTTCTGAATCCTGGGGAAACCCCCAATCCTGGGCACACTAGGAGACTTGGTCACTGTCAGCCTGGAAGGGCTTCTGATGTCCTTGAGGTCACAGGAAATGGGGATTCCTGGGTATGGTGGCGAGGCAGTCCTGCTCTATCTGACCCACAGTAATTCTGGAAGACCAGGCAGGACTAGTGCCGTATGATTTTCTTGGGAAGATGTAAAATTTAACAGGATGTGCCAATAACTCACTGAGGTTCATGTTGATGAGTATGGTGTTTATTGAGTTGCTTATAGAAGTGATGGATGCAGATCCTCCCCTCCCTACCCCACCTCCCTACATCCTTCCATTCTTCCGTTTACCAAAATCGTGTTGTGTTTGGCTCTGAGTTCACAGAAGGGTTTTTGCATACACGATTTCTCAGTACCACGCAGAGCTAAAGCAGTAGGGGTAGCTGCAAGGCTCAGGCAACAGGGCACAGACAAAACCAGACCACGCCAACGAACGTTTACATGTGCTCCAGGACCTCCGCTGGTCTCAGGAGACACTGTCTCACCAGGGGAAGGATGGCTTGCTTGCCTTAAAGAACAGCTAAATGGCAGCTTGCAGCAAGATGGAATCACCCCAACGACTGGCCCTCCTGCAGCAGTAGTTCCTTGGACTGTGTAGACAAAAGGATTCTTATTCTCCCAAGAGTCCAGTGACCTAACTTAGGAAAGACATGGGACACTGGGTCTGGAGATCAGAAGCCTGCTTTTAGAGTCAGGGCTGAGCTGCAAGAGCCCCTTAAACCCGCAGAGCTGTGCTGTGTGGGTAGTGATGTAGTTGGTGGAACTTGGGCTTAACTATGAGCAGCTGCGGAACTTTGACTGAGAGATGCCCCCCACAGGCGTCAGGTGCATGGGCACTTGTTCCCCAGTTCCTGTGAGAGGCACTGGAGCCTTTGTGAGGTGCAGCCTTGCTGAAGGAAGTCCATCACTGGTGGCCTGTAGCTTCACCCCACTTCCTTGTTCTCTCTGCTTCCTGCACGTGGTTAGCATGTGGTCACTCAGCTTCCTGTTTCTGCTGCCACGCCTTCCCCTCCATTCTGGACATCTAGCCCTCTGGAGGCATAAGCCAAAGCAAACTCTTCTTTAGGTGGCTTTGTGGTGGCATTTTGTCACAGCAGCAGAACAGTGGCTAACACAGCTGATGCCATCCTAATATGAATATGCTACCCAGCCTGCCAGGACCCTCCATTTCCCTTCCTTTCTTCCAGGTGAGTCTGGTGGACAAAGACCTCTTGAAATTTCTGAAGCTGGAGGAGTTGGTTCTGAGTGCCAATAAAATTGAGGAAATCGATGCTAACAATCTGCCCCCCACATTGAAGGTACAGGTTCTGTCTGTATGGGGTCTTACAGCCAGCAGCTCAGGGGTCCCTGCCCCAACCTGTCCCGCACGCTCTGGCTAGGGTGGCTGTGTGCTGAGACCCAGCCCCAGGCATTTACAACACAGGTCACGTTCCTCCAAAAGGTACAGAATCCTTCTGGACTCTGCAGCCCCTCCCTTCCACGGTGCATGCCCACAAGAACTGAAGGAAGGACTCGTGGGAGGAAGTTCTAGTCACCTAGAAAACATCACCTTAGATGAAAGAAGCTGGATTTTTAAAGAAAGAGTTTTTTTTATTATTTTCTTGTATTTTTTTATTTTTTGGTTTTTCGAGACAAGGTTTCTCTGTGGCTTTGGAGGCTGTCCTGGAACTCGCTCTGTAGACCAGGCTGGCCTCGAACTCAGAGATCCGCCTGCCTCTGTCTCCCTAGTGCTGGGATTAAAGGCGTGCGCCACCAACGCCCGGCTCTGTTTTCTTGTATTTTATGTACAGTAATGTTTTGCCTTTATGTGTGTCTGTGTGAGGGTGTTGGATCCCCTGGAACTGGAGTTACAGACAGTTGTGAGCTGCCATGTGGGTTCTGGGAGTTGAACCCGGGGCCTCTGGAAGAGCAGCCAGTGCTCCTAACCACTGAGACATCTCTCCAGCCCCAAGAGAGAGATCTTACATATATTTGCACTTAATGAAATATGTAGAAGTGAAAAGTCCACAGAAACAAAAGTCCAGGAGAAGTCTTGGGTAGGAAGGACCAGGAGAACTTACTGCTTAGTGGGACCTTTGTTTGCTTGTTGTCTTTCTTTCAGATATCCGTTTAGGTGAAGATGGTAGCTGATGTTATGAGTGTAATTAGTGCCTGTGGATTGTACACTTGGCATTGATAAAAATTTACCATGTTAAACAAAGATGAGGGTTAAGGAGATAGTTGTCACCAAAGGGATTGCCCTGCAAGCATGAAGACCTGAGCTGGGGCCCCAGAACCCATGTGAAAAATGTGGGGTGTGCTTTTAATGTCAGGGTTGGAAAGGCAGAGACAGGGATCATTGAGACTGTTGGGGGGCCCCCAGCCTGTCTATATAGTAAGTTCCAGGTCAGTGGGAGACAGCCTCAAAAAACAAGGGACGTGGCTTCTGAGGATGCTGAGGCTCTCTTCTGACTTACAGACAGACAGACAGACACGCACACACACACACACACACACACAGGCATACACACACAGACACACAGACACACAGACACACACACACACACACATGCTCAAATAATATACACACAAAACAGAGTAAAAGGGTAGACCACACTTCATCCTGAGTCTTCAGCTAAGCATATCAAAATGGCACCACAGAAGTTCAATGCCGAGAATAGCAGTCTTAGTGCCGTGTCTCGGCCCAACTCAAGACAGTCCCAGAGGGGCCTTAGGCACCACGTCCACGTGAAGGAAAGAACGCTACTAAAGCAGAGTTTATTCTGTGGCCGCCCACCCTGTCCCTGTGGATTCCCATGGACTAAGAAAGTGCTTGGGTGTGAGTTCAAGGACAGCCTGGTCTCCAGAACAAGTTCTAGGATAATCAAAGCTACACAGAGAAACTCTGTCTTGGAAAAACAAAGCAAAAACAAAACCAAAGACTCCAGGCTGTAAGCATCTGATCCCCACCACTCCCTACCACCTCCCCTTCCAAACTGTAAACAACCTTCCCTTCTGCTAGGGTTCACCCTGCCCCCCCCCCATTCCCTTTCTCTCTTGAGACAAGGTGTTGCTGTGTAGTCTGGGCTGACTTGGAATTTGCATTGTAGCCCAAGCTAGGCAGGAAGTCAGAGCCTTCTGTTTCTGGGCCCTGAGTCCTGGGCTATAGGTACACAGCGCCTCACCCACTCTTCCTACGTTAGATTGTTAGGATTTCATTATTTTGTGCTTCGGTGCCTGTGTGAGGCCAGGGGACAGCTTTACAGTGGTTTCTGTCCTTCCACCTTGGGATTTGGGAACCGAACTCTGGTCCTGAACTCTATCCTCCTGCCTCCGCCTCTCAGATACTGAGGTTACGAGAGCACGCACACCATCATGCTGGGTTATCTCAGTACTAGAGGTAGTACCTGGGTCCAGCACATGCTAGGTGGGGCCTCTACCAACCGAGCTGCAGCCCAGCCTCTTACTGCATTTTTTAAAGCAAGTTGGCAACACAGACTCCCTTCTGCTGTGTTCCCCAGGGCAGCACTAGGAGCCGGGTGTGTGAGACAAACCCCTGCAGTCATGGCTGGCCTGTCCTTTCTCAGGTGCTGGAGCTTTATGGCAACTTGATCACCAGCATGGCGTGTCTGTGCTCGCCCGCACCCCCCAGCCTACAGCACTTGGGGCTAGGCCACAACAAACTGATGGGCCATCAGGAGAGTCTGTTTGTCACCTCTCACAACTGGTAACTTGGGAGGACGGAGGGAGGGAGAGCCGTCAAGAGAGGTGTGGGTGCCTCGGAGGACTCAGCTTTTGCGTATTCTGTGACTTCTACATGGCTGCTAAACCCACACTAGGATTTTATTCTCACTCAGTCACAATGTCCCACTGAAGTCTGGGGGTGACAAGGATGACAGGGGCTGGTGGCCATGAGTGGAGCCCACAGTTTATGACAGGGTCCTCAGCTTAGCCCTGTGACATTTCTGCTGATCCCGTCTGGGGGACACTTAGCACACTGTTCTCCTGCTGCTCGGTCTCTGCCTCTCCCTGCCCTTCCTTGTGGAAATCAAAAGTCTCTCCAGGCAGAGCCCAAAGTCTTCTATGGGGACAGTGGTCTGAGAACCACTGTCTAGAGACAACTCTTGGGTGCTCCATTGTACTGAACATCCATTAGACTTCGTGCAGGGCACCCTACCGCCCGCCCCCCCATTTTTTGTCTCCTTGGTGGATTAACAGTGGAAGCTTTCAAATTCGGGATGTGAGAAGTGCGAAAAGATCCAGATACCATTTATAAAAGGCCACTGCGGGCAGGAAGCCGGCCCCTGGGAGAAGCCGCAGGGTTTCAGCTCCTGTGGGTATCTCTATAGGTGGAGTTTTATGCTGACCCCTTCCCCTTCTGTTTCCCCTCCCCTCTCCCCTTCCCTTCCCCTCCCTCCTTTCTTTTGAAGACAGGATTTAATGTAGCCCAGGCTTGCCTTAAACTCAATGCATATCTGAAGACACGGTAAACTCCCGATCTCCCCCCTCACCCCAGTATTTTAAGGATGGTCCAGCCATTCCCTCTTGGGGATGGAAGGTGCCGTGGAAAGGGAAGGCCCTCTCTGGCTGACCTCAGGCGTCCTCCCTTCTCTGCTACTCTCGTCCAGTCTGCCCAGTCTTGGGCTCACTGGGATCCCTTCCTCCCCCGTCTACTGCCTTCAGCAAACAGCACAGAGAGGAAACCGTGTACTTGATCTTGCTGGGACAGCCAATTTAGGTTCATGCCATTGACTGAGGGCAAGCATCTGGCTTTTTGATTCAAAATATGTATCATAACCTTGGGCTTAATGCCAGCTCTGCTTTCACAAAAAGCTTGCATGAAACCCATTTTTCGCTGTTAAAAGGGAGATCTTTCCCGGGAATCCATTTCTCCTGAGTTCTCTTGAGGAAGGATGACATTGTGCCAGGCCTGTGACGATCCCCTGCATTGTTCCTCTTGCGCTTTTCCAGGGACTGGCCAATGACCATCATAGCAGAACAGGGCACGGCAAGAGGGGCCCAGAGGAGAAGAGTGAAGAGGCTGGGTCAGCCTGTGAGAAGGCACTGGGTGACCATGGCAGTTGGTGTGACAATATTCCCTGCTGCTGCTTTGGCCTCTGGCCTCAGAGTCAGTTGTTCCGCAGTTTGTGGCCTGGGGCAGAGCTCTGCCTGCTCCTGAGTCTTTGTCTCTCCTGGATGCCCTGGCTTCGTCTTTGCCCACCAGTCTGTGTCATTTGCTCGTGCGAGCGTATTCTCCTCTCCTAGCCCCTAGAAAGTGAGCAGGTGCGCTCCCTGTGGCCACGGCCATGGTGGCTTTGAAGAGAGATCTCCAGCTCAGCATCTCTGGATGCCACAGCCTGGTGCACCTTCCTTTCAGGCCCCACACTCGCCCTTCTCCCTTACCTACTACCCTCCGGCAGCGACGTCCAGCAATGTCTGCCAGTGGGGGTCTGCGGAGAACATTCTAGAGGCGCGGCACTAGGCTGATATTTAACAGAGGGAAGTACAGATGGGAAGTGTGGTGGGAAGGGCTGGGAGAGTCCATGAGCATAGTCTGTGTTCTGGAAGAGAAAGGAAACACGGGCTCAAGAGCTACTCTGGGTCCAGACAAAAGCTATGAGGCCCAGAGTGCTGAGTCATCACTCACTCAGTTCCCCAACCTGCATCTTGGCCAACCTTCCAGGCCCAAACTCGTCTCCCTGGACCTGGGCTTCAACGACTTGACGGACCTGCAGAGCATGTTAGAGGGTCTCAGAACCTTGCAGCACCTGAGGCTGCTAATACTACAGGGGAACCCAATGGCTCTGGTGCCTCACTACCGCGGCTTTACTGTGGACAGCCTGGCACACCTCTGCGTGCTGGACGACATCACCGTGTCCCCCAGCGAGAAGCATCAGTTCCGGGGACTCAGCATTCATGGGGGTAGGTGCCTCAGACAGCCCGGCCTCAGCTTTGCCCACCCAGGTCCTCTAGGCTAGCCCACAGCTCCCCACTTGACCCTGACCCTGGCCAGGCACACTAAGCACCTCACTTGGGCTTCTCTGTGTGGGACGCTGTGGTGGGGGGGGAGGGGCGGCTTCTGGTCTTCCTGGCTCTTGTTTCTATGGTGGCCAGACATCACCCCCTTGTGGCTCCTGATACAAGGTGCATCAGAGCCCTTTGACATCCCGGTGGTGGTGGTATCCACAGTCACAGGTCTCACCTCTCCATCTCTCAGAACTGTCTCCGCCGGGCACCTCTTGGCACCCCATTTGGCAAATAGGCAAACAAGGCTTATCCCCAACTCACTCCCGTGGAGCTTGGCGGAGACGCGCCTCTGGCTGGCGGGTGGGGAGGTCATCAGACCTGTGCCTTTGCTTTGCCTAGCCCAGCCCCGTCTCAGCCCTGCGGTTACTCCTTGCAGACCTGTTGGCACGTGAGGCACAGTTTGTGGTAACTGTTGGAAATGTCAGGGGGGGTTATGGACTCCTCTGTCTTGGACCCAGAGCCAGGACCTGATGGCCCTTTCATAAGCTACAGCTATTATGTGACCTACGATTTTGTGGAAGATGAAGAGGGCGGAAGGAATGCGGTCCCCAGTGGGATGGCAGAGACGCAACCAGAGAGCGATCTGGCTGAGGTGTGTCCCGCCTACCTGGGCAGCAGAGTGGGCTTCACACAGGCCTGCGGGCTTTGGTGTGCACTTAACAACTTTTTAGCCCCCCCCCCCAAATCTTCAACATAGAATCACGTCCCCCTCCATGCAGGGACCTGGTTTCTGGCTGATATCCCCTCCCCCAGGCAGGGTGAGTCTCAGCCACCTCACCTCCTGTCCCTGAGGAAGCAGAGCAGATGTTTACCCTCCTGTCAGTTGTCCCTGGTCCCACTCTAGACGTTTTACAAAGTCTCCTGCCCGGCTCAGCCTGCTTGAGACTTGGCGTCCAACCCATCTCCAGCACCACATTTGCTGGTGTCAGCGGACTCTCCCCGGGATAACAGCCTGTTTGTCCTTGCCCCCAGATTGTCCAGCCCTCCTCCAGCATGGAGCAATTAGATGAGGAGGGTCAAGAGATGGGCGGCGAGGAGGACCAACAGGATCTGTTGGAGGACCATTCAGGGCCCCAGCGCCAGGCCCGACAGGCTCGCCTGGCCCGCCAGGGTGGCCGCCGTAGGTCTCATCCAGAGTCTCCTGAGGGCATGTCCAAGGAGATGTCTCAGTTTATAGCTGAGGAGATGAATGAGATGGCCGATGACTCCGAAGAGTCTGGGATAACAGATATGGAGGAGTCGGAGACGACCATTTCCATCCACTCCGCCCCCCTGCCACAGTCGATTGACTCTTCAGAAGAACTGTCCAAGCTGCGACCGCGCATTGATGTACCGCTCGGTCCAGCCCCAGGGTAAGGGGAGAAGGCGGAGCAGCTTCCCTTGACCGCTGCGCCACAAAGAACTGCCAAGGCTGTCTTCTGGTCAGCTGGCCTGCAGGCTGTGAGCTAGTGGTAGCTTTGGGCTTAGCCACAGACCCTTCTCTGGAGCCCTTAACCTTCCACTCAGTGCAGCTGAGCCCCAGATGCCTGAGGGTGGAGGACAAAACTCTCCTGTCAACACAGCTTCCACCTCAGCTATTGGAATCCGATTCTTATAGCTTTTATTTTAAAAACAAAACAAGGGCCGGGCGTTGGTGGCACCTGCCTTTAATCCCAGCACTCTGGAGGCAGAGGCAGGTGGATCTCTGTGAGTCCGAGGCCAGCCTGGTCCACAGAGCAAGTGCCAGGACAGCCTCCAAAACAATACAGAGAAACCTTGTCTTGAAATACAAAACAAAAAACCATCTCAAACGTGCTTATTTTCTATATATGAGTGTTTTTTCCTGAATGTACATGAGGGTACCGCATGTGTGTCTGGTGCTGGAGGAGCCCAGAATGCACAGCATCGTCGGGAACAGGAGTTATAGCTGGTTGTAAACTGCCATGTGCATGCTGGGAACCATACCTGGGTCTTCTGGAAGCAGCAGCTGGTTCTCCTAATCTCCAAGCTATGTCTCCAACCTCTTAGCTTTTCAATCCATCTAGGATGTGTTCATATAAAGTGTAGCAGGGCACTGGCTTCAAGACAATAGGTTCTTGGTTTTGTTTGCAGTGCTAGAGTCTGAAGCAAGAACCCCATCCTACTAGACAAGTGCTCTATGGCGGAGCCCTTGTTTCACTACAAAGACTCACTAAGTTTCCCAGGCCAGCCTTGAACTTGGGGTCCTCCTGGCTCAGCCCCCTGAGTAGCTCAAATTCCAGGCACCACCAGGCTTAACAACCAGGTTTTGGTTGCCCAGTCAACCAATTTTCATGCCTGAGCATGTGCTGTCGGTCCAGCCCGGCCTGGAACTCACAGAGATCCGCCTGCCTCTGCCTCCCGAGTGCTGGGATTAAAGGCGTGCGCCACCACCGCCCGGCTGATTTTTTTTTTTAAATTGGGAGTTGAGCATAGTGGTACAGACCTACAAATTCCAGCATTTAGGAATCGGAGACAGGGGGATTACTTCAAGTTTGAGATCAGCATTAACTATTTAGTGAGTTCCAGGCAAGCCAGGATTACAGAGTGGAACTTCCTATCAAAACCAAATCCAAACAAAAACCTTTGTGGATTCCAGCTGGTGAGCATCAGTTGCTCCACACCAAGCATGCCCAGAAGGAATTGTCGGCTCAGTCATTTGTCAGTGTTTCTTCCCAGCCTTTTTGGTTCCTCTGCCCGGCCCAGGTCTTGGCCTTCGCCGTTTGTGGGTGTTTGCTGTCTTCTTTGGCGTCCCTGGCAACCTTGTCAGGTGGCCAGCACAGCCCCTGACAATTACAGCACGTGTCTCTTGTCCCCAAGGACAACCCTCTTCAGCACCGTCCGAAAGCCTTGGACCGACGTCATCCCTTGCAACTATGAGATGAAGCACACCCTCAAGGAGCTGGTGCGGGCCAAGGCCTTCCTGCTGGCGGGGACCACCGTGACAATCGTAGAGGAAAAGGTGGGCAGAGCAGGGCCGCTGGCCTCTCGTTGGCTGGAGTGTCCAGTGTCCACGCCCTTTCCAATGACCTTCCTGGCTCCTGCTGTCATATCCCTGCCCCCTCCTTCGATGCCTCTCAGAGCATCTCCCGAAGGGACAAGGTGGGCCGGGGCCGGGTAACCAGCCTCCCCTGCCCACCTCAGCCTGGATCTTGTCCTCTAGATCCTCTCCTGGCCCGTGATGCCAACTCCTGTCGAGAGCCCCTTGCCTGCCAAGAAGGGGAAAGGAGACAAGAGGGAGAAAGAAAAGAAACAGAAGGCAGAGGAGGCAGCCAAGGTAACCGCAAGGCCTGCTTGGGTCACCTCAGGGCGGGGAGGGGAGTGCCCGAGGCCCAGCCCTGCTCATGCCTGTGCTTGTGGCCTTGCCCACAGGATAAAAAGGGACTCAGGAAAAAAAAGGAGCCTCCCAGGGAGCTTCGTCAGGACCCGCCGGTGCTGCGCGCGCTGGGTAGCGGCCTGGTGTACCTGGAGCCCTTGCTGGCAGGGGAGCCAGCAGTGACCACCGTGTGTAATTTTGGGGTGGTCCGCACCCTTGAGTCTGACAAGCTGACTTTTGCCAGGGTACTGAAGGGTCCTCGGTCTTGTCCTTCCGTCTCTGCCTACGCTCTTCCTTCTTTATGGATGGCTTGCTGGGCCAGGCAGGGATAGGGTGACGTCATGGGTGGTGACACCATGGAGGGTCCTGGTTGTATGTCAAGGCTGCTGGGCACCTTTGATGATGTGGCCCAGGTCAACCACCCTCCTCAGCAGGAGCGCCCAGTCCCTGGGTGAATCCAAGGCCCAGGGAGGGGTGGGTGTCCCCCAGAGTCAGCCTCTGGGCTGGCATCAGTCCTAGCGAGCCCCTGGCTTTGTGGTTCTTTCAGGATTCAAAGAAGATAAAGAAAGTTCCCAAGAAGGGTAAGCCCCACCAGCGGCCACTGAGGGCAGGGTGGGGACTGAGGCCAAGGGGCCATCCTGGGTGGAGAACCACAGGAGTGACAGCTGCAGAAGCATGGCTGCCAGCTGCAGGCTGTGATGTGCTGGGAAGGGCACTGGGCGGGAGCTGAGGTGGGCTGAGTCTTTCTGGCTCAACCCTGCTCTCCCAGGCCGATGCTCTGTGAACACCTGCATTTCTCAGCTAGGTCCTTCTCATGTTGGAGCTTTATAGTTTCCTTCCTTCACCTCCCCACCCGTCACCTCTTGCTTCTTTTGGCTACCTGTGTAGCCCAGGCTAGCCTGGAACTCAGTTTCCTGTGTGTTAGATTTCAGAGTTTTTGTTATTATTGTTCTTGAGTCAGGGTTCTGTGCGCCACCACCACCCTAATCTCAGTGTCTTTTCTGCTTTTTCTTTCTTTTTAATTATTTATGAATTTATTTTGTGTGTGTGTGTGTGTGTGTGTGTGTGTGTGTGTGTGTGTGTGTGTGTGTTTCCGAGGCAGGGTTACTCTGTATTGCTTTGGAGGCTGTCCTGGAACTCACAGACATCCGCCTGCCTCTGCCTCCCGAGGGCTGGGATAAAAGGCGTGCACCACCAACGCCTGGCTTTTTTTTTTCTCTATTTTTTAAATTTAAATTAGAAACAAGCTTGTTTTACATGTCAATCGCACTTTTATTTTCTTAGAAAAGTCAAAAATGGCGATTCCGACCTTCGAAAGCATGTATCAGCCAGAGCCCCTGACCGTGGAGATCCAGATCCAGCTGCATCAGTACCGCTCCGTGGAGGAAGCTTTCCTCAGTCTGGTTGACTAGCCGGGAGAGTAAAGGATGCTCTGCGGCTGGAGCCTGGTTGTCTCTCTGGCCGCTGGCCAGGGGTGGGGGGTGGGGGTAAGGGATGGAGGTTAGGGATGGGGGTGGGGGTGGCACGGGCAGCCCACAGAGGCAGCCCCTGCCTGGAATCTCGCCCTTCACGTGGCTCCGACCCCCGAAGTCCCGCCCTTCGGGAGCTCGGCGCCCTCATCGCCCCTCCCCTCCCCGGAGCTCCGCCTTCGCCGGGGGCCCGCCCCTGAGGCCCCGCCCAGCGGGTTTCCTTGCGCGCCCGGTGTTAGGCTGCAGCCTGTGCGGGTGCGCGGTCCCCACGGGAGCTTAGGTAGGTCTGGGAGTGGCGCAGGCTCCCTGTGCCGGGGGGCAGCTCTGCTGGCCGGCTTTCTGTTGCCCCTCCGTCTCGGGTCCGCTCTGGGCGGTCGCCCCGACGCACCGCGCTGCGGACTCCGGCAGAAAGAATGGAGCTGCCCGGGGCGCACTTCCCCGGAGCCTGAGGCTGGCGACACCCCAGGGCGAGGGCGCGCAGTACGGTGGGAGGACCTGGCCTTACGGGACGGAGGTTCGGACAGGGAAGTGGGCTTTTCAGGGACTTGGGTGGGCATGGGGTGCTGCGGCGTGGGAGGGCAACCAGGCCACGGGACAAGCCAGAGTTCTCCGTGAGTGGCACGGCCGGCTGCGGACTTCGCACACCTGCGATCCATTTCTCACACCTGAGACTCTGGAGCAGTTCCAGCTGCGGTCCCGCGAGGACTGGCTCCGCTTTGCAGCCTGAGAGCTTTCTAGCAGCCTTAGTTGCCTCCTGCCCCCCAGGTCTCTCACATCCTGTTACCTAAGCCACGGCAAAATGGCATTAAAACCATAGGCCATATTTAAACGTGGGCTACACCGTCAGGTGTTGCTCCTCAGCCTTTTGGGGCATTCCCAGTTTTCTCTAATGAGCCCTACGCCAACCCCCACATAGCTTCCTCGCCTTCAGATTGGTCTGCGTGGCTCCTACTCAGCGCGGAGCTTGGCTGTTCTCTCAGACTGTCGCGTTTTGTTCCCGTGCTTCAAGCACACGCTCAGATGTCCCCGAGGCCTTGAACCCTTTCCTCAGTCTCTTCATCCTTAGCATTATCTGGCCTGCCCGCCTGTGAGGGTGTTCCTAGCTGCTTGGCTAACACGAGAGATGCTACAAGAGGCTCTGAGCATCTCTAGGGGCAACAGGGAACGAGGCTGACCCAGATAAGACCGTTTTGAAGGATGGAAAAGAAATGCGGCCTTGTGTACTCGGATATTTGGCTGCCACACCTGTGACTCTGTACCCCAGGTGTAGGTGTGGAGCTGGCTCTGGCTGTGGCCCCAGGCTCCAAGGGAAGGAGGCAAGGAGAGCTACTAGAAAAGTTGTGTTGGGGCTGGGGTGAGGGTCAGTTGTGCTTGGGCAGCATGCTTGGTTCCCGACACCACATAACCTGTCTACGGTCCCAGCACTGGCGAGGTGGAGGCAGGACGCTCAGATGTCTAACGTCTGTGGCTATACAGCAGGTTTGAGGTTGTTTAGGGCACTTGAGACTCCTGCCTTGGGTGTGATCAGAAAGCTATTAGGCAGGATGCAAGACAAGGCTGGGCCACATCTGGAGGGAACAAATGGCAGAGAGGAAACTAAGGGTGAGCTGTGTTACCGCAGGCCTTGGGCAGGCTCCTCTGGTGAATACCGTTTGTCTTTGGGTCACTTTAAGACTTTGTGAGTGAACCAGAACTCTAGAGAAAAGGGACAGTGACATATAGCCCAAGCTGTGGTTCCTTGGATGAGCCCCTTCCCTTCCCCTAACCTCCTCATGCTGTGACTTTTGCTCTGTGAACCACCACTGCCTTTTTGCCATCGTGAAGTTCCCTCCCCTGAGACCTGGGACTCTGGTGTTGCTGGGACTGCATCACCCAGAAACTCAATGCAGAACCTGCCAGAGGCCAGACTGACCGCAGGCTTTGGTTCATTAGGTATGAGTCTGCAAAGCTCAGAATGTTAGGGTTCATGTTTATGATGCATGTAACCAACACTAAAGCCATGCCATTTTCTCTAAAATTCCCTGTTTATTAGATCTCAGCTTTACAACAGCGACAAGCCACATGAGAGGGAAATGTTGGCTGCTGAGCCCTGCCAAGAGGGTAGCAGAAGGCTGGTGTTTTATTTTAGTCTTTCCTCCAGGGAGGACCTGTGCAAAGTGGTTCATGCCCATAATCTCAGCACTTTGAGAGGCTGAGGTTAAGAGACTTACCAGTAGTTCAAGGCTAGGCTAGACTACCCAAAATGAGATCGTTTTGAAAAAAACAAGAACAGGTCCCAGAGTTGGGCAAGGGCTTGGCTGAGGGGTTGCAGGCAACTTAGAGCCTAGCTCAGGTGCTCTCTCCCCACAGGGCCTCAGCTATGTTGCGCAGGTTGGGCTGTGTGCTGTTCTGCAGCCTTGTGGCACTGCTGCTCAGCTGCCTGCTCTTTCTGAAGGAACACACACCAGCAGGGAGCTCGAAGGCCCATCAGCACTTAGGGGTGCTGCCAGAGTCCCAGCACAGCCAGTGCTCACCCAACCTAACAATTGCTAATGCCTCCCTGTCCCTGCCCAGCCGCCATCGCCTCTTCTTAACCTACCAACACTGCCGAAGCTTCTCCATCTTGCTGGAGCCTTCTGAGTGTGCCAGGGACACCTTCCTGCTCCTGGTCATCAAGTCACAGCCTGGCCATATTGAGCAGCGTGCAGCCATTAGAAGCACTTGGGGCCGGGCAGGGAGCTGGACTAGGGGCCGGCAGCTGAAGCTGGTGTTCCTCCTGGGGGTGGCAGGACCTGTGCCCCCAGCCCAGCTGCTGGCCTATGAGAGTTGGCAGTTCGATGACATCCTACAGTGGGACTTTGCTGAGGATTTCTTCAACCTAACACTGAAGGAGCTGCATGTGCAGCGCTGGATGGCAGCCGCCTGCACACAAGCCCACTTCATACTAAAGGGAGACGATGATGTCTTCATCCATGTTCCCAATGTGCTCGAGTTCCTGGAGGGCTGGGATCCTGCCCAGGACCTCTTGGTGGGAGATGTCATCCACCAGGCCCGGCCTAACAGGAACACCAAAGTCAAATACTTCATTCCCTTCTCCATGTACAGGGCCCGCCACTATCCACCTTATGCAGGAGGAGGTGGCTATGTTATGTCCCAGACGACTGTGAGGCGTCTTCACACAGCCATGGAAGAGGTAGAACTCTTCCCCATCGATGATGTCTTTGTGGGGATGTGCCTGAAAAAGCTGGGGGTGACCCCTACACACCATGCTGGCTTCAAGACATTTGGAATCCAACAGCCCCTGAACCCATGGGACCCTTGCCTGTACAGAGGGCTCTTGCTGGTGCATCGTCTAAGCCCCCTGGAGATGTGGACCATGTGGGCACTGGTGACAGATGAGAGGCTCAAGTGTGGGGCTCCCCCTAAACCCTAGCCCTGAGGGGTGGGTTGAGCAATCGCTCTAGTGACTGATGATTTCCTACCACAGAATGAGAGCCGGCCCTTGCTGGTCAGTAAGAATCAATTCATTTTTATAATGCCACCAACCTGAAACCTGGCAAATTTAGCCAGCATGTGCTGAATGGGAGTGTATGCTCCCAGGAAGGCCCAGGGCCCCTACAACTCCCACCATTTAGGCAGTGAAGGACATTGCATGAGAGCCACAAAGACTTTTTCTTTTATTTTTTAATGCAAACACCAAACTTCTCTTCCTTTGGATACAGCAGAGAAACTCGAAGGAAGGGAGAAAGGAAGGAGAAGCATGAGTTGGAGAAGGACCTGTGGGGAGCATCAGGTGGACACTGTCATGCTCTGATCTGAGAAACTCCTTAGCTGAGCTGTGCCCATAGGCACAAAGGACATTAGAAACACAAATTTTTACAAACCAGGCTCCCTTCTTTGGAGCAAACATTAAATTATACTTGAAAATCTGAGCAATATTAAAAACTGTAAGTAAACAGCTATTGAACTTAAGGGTGTGGCAGAAAAGGCCCCTTCTCCCCTGGCCCCGGTTGCTTTGGGTATGAGGTGAAAAGATGGGCGAGAGAGAGCTGAGTGGGACAGTGCTGAATGAACCACGCTCAGGCTAAGAACCAGGCCCATAGACTGAGGCCAGAGAAGGACAGGCACAGCTCACAAAGGCTTCTGGTCTGACTGGCAAGGGCAGAAGCTGTCTCCACAGAGTTGGGGCGACACTAGGTGGATGCCATCACCTGCTTCCCCACTGATAAGGCAGACATGGCAGTGGGCTCAAGCCCTCAATCTTCACGCAGGTAGGCGTCCTCTTCTTGGTCAGCCCTCTCGTCACCAGCTTCCTGGGTTTTCTGGTGCAACTCTTGTGTCTGTGTTTCAGCCAGCTTGGTTTCTGCTTTCTGGGAGAGCTGGCGCACCTCCTGCACCTGCGACTTCACCAACTGGATGTGATTCCTGGCGGTTATAGAGGCCTGATCGGCTCCTGTCAAGAGAAGGGACAGTGCATGGAGCACAGAGAAGTCAGACATGAAGGCCCGAGACTGCAGCTTGTTCCTCATGAGGTTTCCTTCCTCGACATCCTGCTTCTGAGTTCAGGTCTGCATCTTACTCATTTTCAAGACATGGGGTATTGGATGCTGGGGAGATGACTCAGTGGGCACCTGCTGCTCCACAGTACCCAAGATTGGGAGTACCCCATGTTGGGTGGCTCACAACCACCAGTGACTTGAGCTCCTGGGGATCTGATGCCCTATTCTAGACTCTATGGGCACCTACATGCACATACACCTACAAAAACATGCACCAAATTAAAACAGACAAAAAGGCAGGGCTTCTCAATACAGCCTAGGCTGGCCTTGAATTTTTCTGTCTCACTCCTAAGCTGTATCATCATACTCAGGTGGGTGCTACACTTGAACATTGTTGTGTTTGGCTATGTCTGTATTTCAGGACTTGTTCTCAGATTCTATATACTTTCTATTTCTCCTTAGCTTGGGATTGTTTAAATAATTTTGATTTACTATGTGAGTGGATGCTACATGTATGAGGTACCTGTGGAGACCAGAAGAGGGCATCAGATCCCCGTGGATGTGGGTCCTCTGAAGAGCAGCAAGCACTTTTTTTTAAAGATTTTATTTATTGATTATTTATTATGTATACAGTGTTCTGCCTGCATGTATGCCTTCCTGACAGAAGAGGGCACCAGATCTCATTACAGATGGTTGTGAGATTATAGGCATGAACCACCATATCCAGCACTTTAACATTTTAATACAAAGAAACACGAAGCAACGGCTCAATTTGTTTGCTTTCTAATTGTAGCCTGGTGTCTTCAGAGTGGGAGTGTACAGGAACTTCAAGACCCAAAAGTGCCTGTGAGGTCAGTGCCAGCACTGACCCCGAGCAGGGAAAGAATGAAAGAATGCTCTACTGTTTTCATCTCTGTCTCTGTCTCTCTCTTTTTTTTTAACGAGACAGGGTTTCTCTGTATTGTTTTGGAGGCTGTCGGTCCAGCCCAGCCTCAAACTCACAGAGATCCGCCTGCCTCTGCCTCCCGAGTGCTGGGATTAAAGGCGTGCGCCACCACCGCCCGGCTTCATCTCTGTCTCTTAAGAGTTCCTATATACATAGTGGCCTCATGTCCTCCTCTGTAAGGATGAAACACTTAAAGCTATTTAGAGACATTTCGATACCAGTTCTACTAGTTACTTTCTCCACACTTGCAGCCTGACTTCTATAAGTGCAGATAAAACGTTAAAGCTTCACGTAGCAGCTTGGCCTGCCACTGGGGACACTGACACCAGCCTCTTCTACACACAGTGAGCCTGAGGCTAGCCAAGGCTCTATAATGAGACTATGTCTCAAAACAACATAGAAATGGGGAAAACCTCGAAATCATTTGGGGGGATCATATCATATATCTTGCATACCAAGTATTTACACTATAATTCATAACAGGAAAAAGTTAAACTTATGAAGTAACAATGATAATTTGGTGTCCCATGGGACATGGCATACTGTATTAATGGTCACAGTATTAGATTTGTACCATCAATTAGACAGTCTAATTAACCTGAAGACATCATTTAACATCTAAATTAAAAGTAAAAAACAAAAAGCTAATCCTTTACTACCAGTCTGATAGGCAGCCTCTGCAGCCATCTCTGACAGGCTAACTGCAGTCATCCAAGTGGTTTCCAGCTTCATGTATTCCTGCTGCTTTGAAGTCATCTGTAGGTTCAGAAAAGAGCTCCAGATACCATGAAGGGGTTAACACAGTTACTCTCAAGATAACAGCTTAGATACCATAATGAAGACCATCATATGGAAATGACAAGTCTGCTCACCTCAACTCTGGCTCCTATAATCACCTGCCATACTTCATCTTCCTCCTGTGAATTCATTTTTCCAAGTAAACTTGTATATTGTCGATACAGAGACACTAACGTATAAACAGCCTACAAATACAGAATAAATGTGTGTAAAGTGAGGTACACTAGAAGGACTAGACAGTCACACCTTTAGAAAACTTTCACAAGTCCTGAGGTGGTAGTGCATACGTGTAATCTCAACACTCATCAGGAAGATGTGGTGGGAGGATTCCAAGTTCAAGGCCAGCCTGAGCTACATATTGAGAGTGTCTCAAATTTAGAAGGATCGGGGCTGGAGAGATGGCTCAGTGGTTAAGAGCACTGACTGCCCTTCCAGAGGGCCCTGGTTCAAGTCCCAGCACCCACATGGCAGTTCCAAGGGATCCGACGCTCTCATACAGAGGCCAAAAACACTAATGCACATTAAATTAAAAAAAAAAGGGGGGGACCTTGTGCCTACTGGGCTGTGGGGATCCCTTTCCTCAGCCAGGGCTAGAGGCCAAGATCAGCCCTTGACACAGTCATGAGAACTGCATGGGTGAGCAGCCCCGTATTCCTACTGCAGACATTCAAATGAGAGGGAGGAGGGGTGGCTGACTGCTAAAAGCTCTTGTAGAGTTCAGTTTCCAAAGCACAAGCCAGGTAGCTCACAACCAGCCACCCCACCCGCAGCCTCCCTGGGCATCTGCATGCACTCTTCCACATACCCATAATAAAAACCTCCACACAGTAAATCAGCTTAACATCCTTGTGCTTCACTGAGTTGTACCAATGCAAGAAGTAGAGCCATCATCCAGGACATCAGTGTCTTTTTTTTTTGAGACAGGCTCTCACTATGTCAACAAGGCTGGTCTAGAATTCAGAGATCTGCCTGCCTCTGCCTCCCGAGTACTAGGATAACATGCGGGCTGCCTCTTAAAAAATTAGTAACACAATCTTTGAGTTCAAGGTCAGCATGGTCTACATAGTGAGTTCTATGTAGACCCTGTGAACCCTGTCTCACACACAAAACTAAATAAAATTTTTGTTTACCATTTAGACAAAGAGGCAGACACAAAGAAATGCATAAAAGACTTTAAGACGGTGTCTTGCTTCCTGTGCTGGCTAGGATGGCTCCACAATACCAGGGTGGCAGGACTGGAGCAGGAACCACTGCATGCGGCCTGCTCTGGCCATCGTAGCATCACAGACCCTCTTGAACCCTACTGAAGCAGATGAGCTATTCATGTTCTAGGCTATCTGCCTTAACCTTCGCATCCTCCTGCCTCTACATTGTTGAGCATAAAACCAAGGCAAGTACTCTATAAGGAGCTACTACAAAAACCCAGCCCTTAGCAACCTTTTTTTAAAAGGGCCAGACTGTAAATATTTGAGACTCAAGAGCCCTATGACTTCTGCTAAAGCTACTTAAACTCTAGCAAACATACACAAGCCTGGCTAAGTTCCAATACAATACAAACACAGCTATCACACCAGGTATGGTTGTGAGCCACAGTTAAGAGGGAAGTGCAGATTGCAGCTCTGTAATAGAGGACTTGCCTGACACCATAACCCTCTGGGGAAAAAACATGCACAAGAGGACACATACCTTTGTATACTCAGTGATTGCTTCGATCAGAGCGTACGTGGTTTGGGACAGAAAGGTGGAGGTGCTGTCTGTCACCAAAGACACAGCCCTCCTCATTAATGCTTCGTTACTAAGAGATTGAGGCTCCGATTTCTGAAAGACAAACAGTCAACTTCCAACCTGAATAAAGCTTAAGTTGAGGAGTTCTCGGTCTCAGAAGATCCCCCTGCACTTTGTGCAGGTGAAGATCTGTTTGCATTCTTCTTTGGGTAACTTTTTAGGCTTTCTGTTTGGTGATTTAAGACAACACAGGTGGGGGAAGAGGGAATCATAGGTTAGAAGACAGATCTGGCACCAGTGAGACCTCTAGTGATCTAAAGGGATGACACCAACTGGCAAGCTAAGCAATAGTGGAGAAACCACCTTAAATGCCCATTCCTGATAATGAACTTGATTTTGATGTCTATAACCATCCTAGAACCTTCATCCAGTGACTGATGGAAGCAGAGGCAAACACCCACAGTTAAACACTGAACTGAACCCATGGGACCCAGTGACAGAGAGAGAGGAGCAATGAGCAAATTGGCAAAGAATGGGCTGGCAAAACCAGCAGAGACAGCTGATCTGAACAAGGGAGAGCTCTTGGACCCCAGACCGACAGCTGGGAGGCCAGCAGGGGACTGATTCAGAACCCCAGAGTGTGAGAGTCAATGAGGAGGCCTGGGCAACCTACGGGGCCCTGGGCAGTAGATCAGTGTTTATCCCTGGCATATAACGGACTTCGTGTGTCCATAACACAAAGAGGGATGCTCTCTCAGCCTGGACTCTTAGAAGAGTGCCTGGACCCCGCCCTGAGTGAAATCACAGACTCTAGATATATCCCCTATGTGGAAGGAAGTGGTGATAGGGTGGGAGGCTGGGGGGGAGAGGGGAGGGAGAGGGAACTGGGATTGACATGTGAAACAAGCTGTTTAAAATTTAAAAAAAAAAGACAACACAGGGACATAACCACAGGGTAATGTTCCTTCCACTTTCACTCACCTAGAGAACCTAAGGAGCTGTGGCAGAGTCACAGGAAACTATCAATCCTGTGTTGAGGTGTTACTAGCAAAGACTTCAGAGATCTGATGTGAACTGAGCTGAGTTTAATGGTGGATGTGGGATGACAGTCTGGGCAGAGCAAGTAAAACGCCAGGGGCTCACTATAACCTGAGCTATTACACTGAAAATCAGAATTATGGGACTTGGTCACTCCAACTAAAAACCTGCTGTGACTCATCACCTACATAGCTTTTTTTCCTTCTGGACAGAGACCTCGCTATATCAAAACCACTGTTCTGTGGTCTACTTACTGTCTTGGTTTTGCTGCGTGGAGTGTAAAACTCCAGAATAACTGTTAAAAGTATCATGACTATGAAACGTTTCTTTTGTTTTGTTTTTTGAGACAGGGTTTCTCTGTGGCTTTGGAGGCTGTCCTGGAACTCGCTCTGTAGATCAAGCTGGCCTCGAACTCACAGAGATCCGCCTGCCTCTGCTTCCCAAGTGCTGGGATTAAAGGCGTGCGCCACCAATACCTGGCTGAAATGGTTTTTAATACGTGAATAAATAATGTCATATGACACAGCATCTTGAAAACCTGAGTATAACAATGCTAACTTTACTATGTGTTTTCATTCATTTCTGGTGTGGATATCATTACTTTTTACAGATGAGGAAATCCACACACAGTCACATTACTTTCCCTAGAAATCACTTATCTAGTTAAACCTCAAAGCAAACCCTCTCCAAAGCCTGTATTGTTATGTTCTGCTGACCCAACACAGTGCCACACAGATCATCAAGCATGAAAACAGACACTTTGAAACCAGAGCCTCCTTGGCCCAAGAGAAATGAAGGTGGTTATGGGCAGGCACAACTAGACCCACTTTAGCTGTCTGAAGCACATAATGGAGTCCTGGGAGTTTGGAAGGGCAGACAGACACTGCAGGAGAGTGACAACAGCAGCTCTAGTCCTGTGGCCCAGAACTGACTAGTACCTGGGACTCAGAAAGGAATATCAACAGAGAAGGACAAACCCCACAATCCTCAGAGATAAAGAATATTGCAGGCTGGCACCAGCTGCTGAGCCAGACAACTAGTTCAACTACCGGAACCAGCTCCTGCAGTTGTCCTGATACCCCCACCTACCACACAAAAATGCAATTTTAGAAGGGCTGTCTTGGACTGGAGAGATAGCTCAATGATTAAGAGCACCGACTGCTCTTCCAGAGGACCAGGGTTCAATTCCCAGCAACCACATGGCAGCTCACAACTGTAACTCCAAGATCTGACCCTCACACAGACATACATGCAGGGAAAACACCAATGCACATAAAATAAAAATAAATTATTTAAAAAAGGGGGTGCTATCTTGTCACCAGGATGACTGATGTTAAGTGAACATTTTAGAGTTAAGGTTCATCAGCATGCAGAGATGATGGGTGAAAAGAGACAGACCGGCACAAGCCTCATGTTAAAAGTACTTGTAATAAATGGATACAAAAATATCAGGAATATTTTGTTGGCGTGAGTTTGCTGGTTTCTTTTCTTTTTTTTTGGTTTATGAGACAGGGTTTCTCTGTATTGTTTTGGAGGCTGTCGGTCCAGCCTGGCCTCGAACTCACAGAGATCCGCCTGCCTCTGCCGAGTTTGCTGGTCTCTTATCCAGCCTTTTTCCATAAACCACATATCCAGTGATTTTAAAAATTATTTTCATATCAGCTGCTGATAGCTCCACTGGGTTCTCCCTGACATGCTGTAACTTTCTTCCTATGGAGACCCACTCCTCTGCTCCAGCAAATGACAATTCTTCTCCCTCACTTCCCCGCTGCCTGCCAGCCTAACTACCCCCATCTCAGCTAGACTAATTATAACCTTAAAACCTACTCAAGATCCTAATATTCCCAGAACAAATCCTTTGTGGCCTCTTCAGAATAAAATGCAAAGTCTCAGTACCCACACAAATCAGGTCAGTGTCTGATCCCTGGTTAGCTCAGTGCCTCACCTATTAAACAGTTCCTCATTCCACCCAGCCCACCTTACTTTGCTGCACACCACACAAGATTCAGCCGCTGCTAGGCTTTTGCCTGCAATCCCTCTGCTGCAGGCTCCTCCCACACTTAGGTCATTCCCATGGCGCAGTCTCACATTGCCCAGAGTAGCTTTCTCAAAGCACACTTACATGGGGTGTCCCATCCCACTGCACCCTATTTCCTTCATATTACATCACCAGATGACCTTTCTTTCTTGTTTGGTTTTTCAAACAGGGTTTCTCTGTGTAGGTCTGGAAGTCTGGACCAGGCTGCCTCTGGGATTAAAGCATATGCCACCATGCTTTGTATTATTCCTTTTTTGGTGTGTCTTTTTTTGAGAAATCTCAAGAACAAACTAACCCAAGCTAGCCTCAAGCTTTGATCTGCCTGCCTTACCTCCCCCAGTGTTGGGATTACAGGAACATACCACCACACTCAACTTATGTCTGCATACTTTCTACACAGAATACATATTTTATGATAGTGTATGGCACAAAGAGCTCTTCAGTAAAGCTCTGCTGAATGAGACTTCTGCCAACAGACTCGTCGTCTTTTATCTCATTCTACCCTTTATGCAACTTGAAGTACTGTTTACCCCAGGACCGTCTAGGTGATTGGAACTTGATTCCTGGCTAACTCTCTGGCCTCACCAATTAAACAGTGCCTCTCTCCACTACTTCTCCTATTCCCCACTCCTAGTCTTGTCTTTGAAGACAGAATGCCTACACAAGTTCCTCAGTAGGTTAGTCTACCCTGGTGGATCTAAAATGGTGGCCAGTGGCAGCCAAGCAACCTCTAACTTCCTAATTGTTCCGAGAGCGTCAATTGATGCACTCTCCAGTGCCAAGACAGTTGAGGATTACCTCAGTGAAAACTGAACCATTAAAAAACAACCAAGGGGCTGGAGAGACATCTCAGTGGTTAAGAGCACTG